TTCTGCTGCAGCAATTGCGTGCGTCTTGTCTTGTGCTGCTGCTGCTGCTGCTGCTGCTGCAGACGCGTCGCTGCGCTGCTGTCAGCAGCAGCAGCAGCAACTGTCGGGGGCTTCATAGAACAGCGCCTAAATGAATACGGAAATTATCTTATACCCGCGCTGCCCCGCCAGGGGCCCCAGGGGCCCCCAGGGGCCTCTCAATAGGGGCCTCTCAATAGGGACCCCCCTGGGGGCCCCCAGGGGGGCCCCCGGGGGCCCCACGGGGCCTCGAGGGGCCCCTTAGTGAATGATTCCTAGGTAAAGCGTCTGGGGCGAGCAGGGGGCCCCCCTTTGCCGCTTTAGGGTCCTTGGGGGCCCCCTGCTGCAGCTAAACGGCACCTGGGGGCCCCCAGCAGCAGCAGGGTCTGCTGCTGCAGTTACTGGGTGGGGTTGTTGAGGCCCCTGGGGGCCCCAATAGGGGCCCCTAAGGGTGCGTATGGGGGCCCCCAGAAGCCCCAGGGGCTTGTCTGGGGCCCCCCTGGGGCCCTATGGGGGCCCCCCTGGGATGCCCTTTGAGGGACCCCCTGGGGGCCCCCTTGGGGGCCCCTTTGAGGGGCCCCTAGGGCCCCCAGGGGGTCTCTTGGGGGCCCCTTTGAGGGGCCGCTAGGGCCCCCTGGGGGCCCTTGTTTGGCCTCAGGGGGTGCAGGGGGCCCCTGGGGCCCCCAAGTGGGTAGGGGCCCCTCAAGCAGCTGGGGAGGGGTGCCCCCGGGGCCCCCTAAGCTGCTGAGGGCCAGTTTGGGGGCCCCCTGGGGGCCCCCTTGAGAAAGCCTTTGGGGGCCCCTTGAGGGGCCCTTTGGGGGCCCCATGAAGGGTACTTTGGGGGCCCCTTGTAGGGCCCATTGGGGCCCCCTTGGGGCCCCCAAGTTGTCTTCCAAGAGACAACAAAGGTTTATGAATTTGTGGGATCGTGTGCTGGGATCGCCTTTGGGATCGGATCCCGGGATCGCTTTTCTGGGATCGCTTTTCTGGGATCGTTTCCCGGGGGCCCAACACCCCACACTCCAAACCCTAAACCCTAAACCCTAAACCCTTGAAAGGGCCAGAGCCCTTCGCTTTTGTCTTTGTCTGGGCGGGGCTCAAGGGTTCCCAGCTGAGGGGTTTGCTCCGCAGCGGCTACATGAGGGTTTGGAATAAGGGTTTAGGGTTTAGGGTTTAGGGTTTTGCTTCAAGGGGATGCAGCAACTGCAACTGAGGAGGCAGAGCCAGAAACATCGACGAGGAGTGCTCTCGCCTCTACATGCTCCTCAGTCTAGGGTTTAGGGTTTAGGGTTTAGGGTTTAGGGTTTTCGTCAGAAGATCCTGCTGTGAACCAGCCTTTTGGGATCAAAGTCTAAGTTTTCGAGGTTTAGGGTTTGGGGCTAGGGTTTAGGGTTTAGGGCTAAGGGGCCTGCAGGCACGCAGCGGCATTAAACCCTACTTATCCAAGCCGAGAATACTTGGCTCTCTCTAAACCCTAGCATAAACCCTAAACCCTAGCATAAACCCTAAACCCTAGCACAAACCCTAAACCCTAGCCTGAACCCGAAACCCTAAACCCTAGCCTAAACCCTAAACGCTAGGCTTTCAAAACACAACTAGCACAAAAACCGCAGAATTAGGGTTTGGCGCACAGCAGAAAACACAGGGGCGCATGAGCGCGCCCGTAAACCCCAAACCCTAAACCCTAAACCCTAAACCCTAAACCCTCGGGGGGGGGGACTTCGAAATAGTCGTTGAGGCGCTGCAGCGCGGGGGCCTCGCGCGGCGAAACTTCGCAGTGGGAGAGGCAGAGGCTGGTGAAGCTTTCGACATCCTGAGGGTTTTGAAAAATGAAAAAAAAAATAAAAATAAATTAAAAATAAAAACAAAAACAACTCAAAAGACCATTTAAACAAACTGAACTGAAGCGGACACGGAGAGGAGAAGAAATCCGCAAAAAAAGCAAAGACGGAGAAGACAAACGAGCAGCAAAGTGCAGCAAAGGGGTTAACGCACTCTAGGGTTTAGGGTTTAGGGTTTAGGGTTTGGAGGGAGGGAGGCTCGAGGGCAACAAATGGGCCACGATGAGTGGACAAATAAACAATTAAGGATTGAATTTAATGAAATATTAAACCCTCAAATATAAAACCCTTTTTAATCTCTTTTGATGTGCGTTTATACACCCCAGTGAGGTGTACGTACACCCCAGCGCCTCACCAGTTTCAGCTGTCTCGCGACCTTCACTGCCACTGCCATTTCCTAAAAGAAAAAACAATTCATTTGTTTATATTTGATTATTTAAAAGAAATAAATTAAAAAGGAAAACATTTGGAGTTTATTTTTTTAATTTTGTCGATATTTATGCAACCCAATTGCTGCATTTGCATTTCTTCAGACGAAGTCTTTTTTTAATTTAAATGCAGCTTTTGTGTTGTTTAAATGTGCTGCATTCGTTCTTTTTAATTTCATTTTTATTATTTTTAATTTTATTTTTAATTTCCTTTTCAATTTCATTTTAGTAAACACAAAGACGAGCATTTCTTTGCTGCGCTTTCAGGGTGTACGTACACCCCAGGTTCGCAGCGTGGGGTGTACATACACCGCATTTGATTTGCATTACTTTCAAGTTTGAGAACTTATAAATACATCTTTAAAAACGCATGCAATTCTCTTTTTAATTCACTAATAGCAGCACAGATATAAAGACAAATATGAAGACAAGATGCAAAATTAAAAACAGAAAAACAGAATCAAATGGTTCAGTTTTAGTGCCTCATTTTGCTTTTTTGTATTTTGCAAAAAAGGAAAAAAAGAGTAAAAAAACAAACAAACAAAATGCACAACAAACAGCATAAAAAGAACACTAAATGCTGCAGTCTTGATGGATTATTTTGTTTTTTTAATTTAAAAAATAAAATGAAAACTTGGTTAACTGCGCGGGCGCTGGCGGCGAGGGCTCACGTCTTGAGGTGTATGTACACCCGGCGGGCGCTGGAGCTTCTGAAGAGCTCTTTCTTTTTTTTGTTCTTCACTCATCAGTTCTTTTATTTTATTTAAATAAACTTCGCTGGCGCTGTTTATAGCTGCGCAGCACCAGCGAGCCACCAAGGCCTGGGGCAAAAAAAAGAAATTTAAATGAAGAATTCAATTTGTGAATAAATTAATTCGAGAAATTAATTCAATAAAGAAGTTAATTTCATTTTAAATGAATTTATAAAAGAAGCAATTCCAGAAATTAATTTGTTTAATGAAGGAGTTGATTTAATGAAGATTTCAACTTGAGGGAAAATTAATTTTTAAATGCAATAAAAGCCAAAAGGCACTCTGCAGATTTTCCGCAGTTTGCATGCAAACAGATTTCGTCCCGAATTGGCAAATAAATGCAAAAGAATAAAAATAAATAAATAATATAATTAATAAATATAAATGTTTATTTTAAAAATATTTAAATGGATTTATACGACCAATAAATGCATGCAAGTTGGCAGCTAAAAGATTTATCGGGAAATCGGTGAATAAAACTTCTGCAATAAAACAAATAAAACAAAAACAAAAAAGAATAAAATAATTAAATTAAAATACCTTTTTTATTTCCTGACGTTCTGTTTCTTCTTTGAAAACTCTCAAAGGCTCCAAAAGCCGATTCACGTAAAGACTCGCCGTCTGAGGTGTCTGTACACCCCAAACGCATGCAGCGCCAACAAACAATTTTTGCAAATTTAAACCACTGGAGCCTTCAAAATCCAAATAAATAAAAGCAAAAGACATTTTTATCAAATTAATTTTAATATTTTATTTGTTTTTGCATTTAATTCCACCAGAATGTCCAATTTTAGAGATGCACGGACTGCTGTACATACACTCCATTTCGGGTGCATGCCTCCTGCTTTGTTTTCGCCACTAATTAAAAGTTTATTTTTAATTATTCAAATTAGCATTTTTAATTTATTAAAATGGAATTTAGTAATTGTTTAAATGCGCACTTTGCATTATTTAATTGTCCATTTGTGCAGACACAAATGCTTGCAACACTCGAGTGTTTGCAGAAACACACGAGCATGCACAAACCCTAAACCCTAAACCCTAAACCCTAAACCCTAAACCCTAGCGACTTACCTGTCGAACCACCAATCTGTATCTGGGAGGCAGCGTCTTGAGGGCCGCGAGCGAAAGACAAATGCAAAAAGACAAAAGACGCAGCAGCAGCTCTTCCTGCGTGCAGCAAAGCCGCAGCCAACGGGGTGTACGTACACCTGAAGGCCCTGCGGCCCAGCCTAGGCTGAGGTGTACATACACCTCAGGCGCGGCGCGCCCCTGAGGTGTATGTACACCTCAGCCACGCGCCCCACACGCTGCGGTGTACGTACACCCCAAACTGAGCTGCGGATACACCCGGTGACGAAAGGGCCACGCTGAGGTGTACGTACACCCCGAAACTGAGGTGTACATACACCGCAACGCCGGGGGCTCCTCGCGTTTCTTTCTCTCCACCCATATTCAAGCACACAAATATCTAAATAAATAAATAAATAAATAAATAAATAAATAAATAAATAAATAAATAAATAAATAAATAATAAATAAAGTTATGAGAATGGGGGCATTTAACTGCATGCAAGCCAACAACTCCCTTATGTGCATGCGCATGCACTGGGGCAGGAATGGCTCGCGGGGTGTACAGACAGCTGGGGTGTCTGTACACCTCGAGGTGTACAGACAGCTGGGGTGTCTGTACACCTGGGGGGTGTACAGACACCCGGAGAAAGCTGGACTCACCACTTCTCGTTCAGAAGATTTTATTTTAATTTCCATTTCTTCAAAAAGCCCCAAAATGCAATTTAAAATTTGCTGCATGCGTTTTTGAGCCACGAAGGGAAGTCCAGCGGCGGCCAGCAGCCGCCCCAAAACAGCCTGCGCAGTGAAGAACAATTATTAAAAATAAATAAATAATTATGAAGAAATAATAATTATAAATAAATAATAAATAAACAATTATAATTAATAAAATAACAATTAATTAATTATTTATAATCAGTAATTGTAAATAATAATAAAGTCTGAGAGTAAAAGAAAAAAGAATCAAATGCAGGCGAAGAACGCGAATGAATCAATAAAAGAAAAAATAAAAATAAAAATAAAAAATAAAATAAAATTCAATAAAAACTAAAATAATAAAATATATTAAACGAATAAAAAGTATAAAAGAGATTGAAATGAATAAAAGGAAAAAAAGACATAGAGGAGGATAAAAGGGACTGAAATAAACGGAAAGAAATAGAAATAGATAAAAAGAAATGAAAAAGAAATAAAAAAGAAATAAAAATAAGTAAATAAAAGTAAATGAAAACAAAATAAAAATAAAATAAAAAGAAATGAAAAGAAATAAAAAAGAAATAAAAAAAAATAAAAAAATAAAAAATTAAAAAAAACCAAAAAATTAATCACCTGCAGAATTGGCGGCGCTGCTGAGCCTTCGCCACAGCCGTCTGCTGCAGCAGCAGCAGCAGTAGACGCTGTCTCTGCTGTTGCTGCTGCTGCTGCTGCTGCTTCTGCTGCTGCTGCTGCTTCTGCTGCTGCTGCTGCTTCTGCTGCTGCTGCTGCTGCTGCTGCAGCTTGAAAGCTCCAGCCTCGAGGAGGCGCCAGCTGGGCCCGCAGCTCTGCAGTGTCAGCGCAGATGGAGGCCAGCAGCACTGCTGCGTCTACGAAGCTGCTGCTGCTGCTGCTGCTGCTGCTGCTGCTGCTGCTGCTGCTGCGTATTCTGCTGTCGCCTGCGCGCATGCAAGGGCCCAGTGAGGCGCATTGTTTTAAAAAGTAATTATTAATAAATAAATCTTTTTGCTGCTAAACAAATTTGCTGCTTCAAGCAGCCTTACTTTCAAGTGCGTAGCTTTCTGCTGCTGCAGCTGCTGCTGCACTTGCTGCTGCTGCGCGTGCTGCTGCTGCTTCCTGCACAAACTGCAGGTGCTGCTGCAGCAACTCATTAAAGAGCTTCAGGCTGCTCGGCAGCAAAGGCCCAGCCAGCAATAGAGTGCGGGGGTCTCTGCTGCAGAAGGCGCTGTGGGGCCCCGCAGCAGCAGCAGCAGCAGCAGCAGCAGCAGCAGCAGCAGAGGGGGGCTCGCAGCCAAAGAGAAGGCGGAGGTGTTCAGCAGCTCGGCAGTTGATGGCAGCCACAGCTGCACACAAGCAACATTTATCATGGCTTCTTAGCTAGCTAGCTAGCCAGCTAGCTAGCTAGCTAGCTGGCCGGCTAGCTAGTCAGCTAGCTAGCTAGCCAGTTAACTAGCCAGCTAGCTAGCCAGCGAACCAGCTAGCTAGCCAGCTAGCCGTCTAGCCAGGTAGCTAGCCAGCTAGCTCTTCAGCTAACTGACCAGCTAGCTATACACGCTAGCTAGCTAGCCACCAAACTAGCTAGCTGGCCAGCTAGCTAGCTAGCTAGCTAGCCACCTAGCTAGCTAGCTAGCTAGCCACCTAGCTAGCTAGCTAGCTAGACACCTAGCTAGCTGTCTAGCCAGCTATCTGGCCAGCTAGCTAGCTAGCTAGCTAGCCACCTAGCTAGCCGGCCAGCCAGCTAGCTAGCTAGCTAGCCACCTAGCTAGCTAGCCACCTAGCTAGCTAGCTAGCTAGCTAGCTCACCCGCTTGTTGAGGAAGGTGGCGCGGACAGTGTTGAAGTTCAAAGCTTGGCTTTGCAGCAGCGCAGCAAAAGCAGCAGAAATTTCTGCTGCTTGGAGGCGCCCCCAAACCCTCAAATCGAAAGCAGCAGCAGCAGCAGCAAGCGAGGGGCACTGCAGCAGCAGCAGCTGCTGCTGAGACCCCACAGGAAACATTTCGCTCAGGCCGCAAACAAACCTGCAGCAAAGCAGACAGGCAGCAGCAGCTGCTGCTCCTGCTGCTGCTGCAGCGGCTGCTTCTGCTGCTGCTGCGGTGGCTGCTTCTGCTGCTGCAGCGGCTGCTTCTGCTGCTGCTGCGGTGGCTGCTTCTGCTGCTGCTGCAGCTGGCTTAGCCAAGGCGACGCAGCGAGAAAAGCAGCAGCAGACGGCAGCAGTAACAGGGGCAGCAGCAGCAGCAGCAAAAGCCAAACAGCAGCAGCAGCAGCAGCTAAAAAGAAAAGAGCAGCAACAAAAGCAGCAGCGTCAATGCCAGCAATTATGCCCGCCAGGACAGCAGCAGCAGCAGCAGCAAAAGCAACAGCAGCAGCTCGTTTCGGCAGCAGCAGCAAACCCAATCAATAACTACAGCAGCGGCCGCAGACATCAGCAACAGCCTCAGAAACAGCAGCAGCAGCAGCAGCAGCAGCAGCAACAGCCTCAGAAACAGCAGCAGCAGCAGCAGCAACAGCAGCAGCAGCAAACCTCTGCAGCTTGAGGAAGCTCCATAGGAAGCTGTCGCCGTAAGCTGGCTCGCTGGCTGAGGGGCAGCCAAAAGAGATGCACTGCAGCAGCAAACGCAAGCAGCAAACATTTTGCTGCTGCTGCTGCTGCTGCAGCTGCTGCAGCTGCTGCTGCAGCTGCTGCTGCTGCATAAGGGGTGTGGGAACAGTAGTGGCCCAGCGAATGGCTGGCATCGCAGTACCTGCTGCTGTTGATGTTGCTGTTCCTGCTGCTGTTGCTGCTGCTGCTGCTGCTGTTGTTGTTGCTGCTGCGGCTGTTGTTGTTGCTGCTGCTGCTGCTGTTGTTGCTGCTGCGGCTGTTGCTGCTGCTGCTGTAGCTGTTTGTATTTACCTGCAGCGTTTCTCGAAGCAGCAGCTGCAGCAGCTGGACTTGTGGGGTGCTCCCCTGCTGCTGCTGCACCTGCTGCTGAGGTGTATGTACACCCGAGAGCTTCAGCGCCAGCGGCAGCAGCAGCACGGGAGCAGCAGAAAGAAGAGCAGCAACTCCGTGCAGCAAGCAGCGCAGCAGCTGCAGCAAATGGCAAAAGTCCCAAACCCTAGTTCTTCAAACAAGCCAGAAGAACGGAGGCCTAAACCCCAAACCCTAAACCCTAAACCCTAAACCCTAAGCCCTAAACCCTAGGCCACTCACAAGCGCCTCTTCCTGCGTCGTCAGGGGCCTCGGGAGGTGAAGGAGATGCCGCTGCTGCAGCAGCTGCTGCTGCTTCTGCTGCTGCTGCAGCTGCTGCTGCTGCTGTTTGTTTAGGTGTGCAGGCTGCTTCGTGCCGCATACTGCTGCAGTTGCTGCTGCTGCTGCTGCTGCCACAAGAGGCCGGATGAGCACCTCCACAAAAACGTTCTCAACTGCAGCAGCAAAACAAACCCTAAACCCTAAACCCTAAACCCTAAACCCTAGACTCTATATCCTGAGTCCACAGCAGCACCAGCAGCAGGTGCTGCTGCTGCTGCTGTCCGAACAGAAGCAGCAGACGCAGCACATAATATGCTGCGCAGCAACCAGCAGCAGCAGCAGCGACGCAACTACAGCAGCAGCAGCCTCTGTAGCAACAGCAGCAGCAGCTGCAGCAGCTGCAGCAGCAAACTCTATAAAAGCAGCAGCACCCTCTACAAAAGCAGCAGCAGCAACAGCACCCCCTGCAGCAGCAGCACCCTCAGCAGCAGCAGCAGCAACAGCACCACCCTCAGCAGCAGCAACAGCGCCATCCGCAGCAGCAGCAGCAGCAGCAGCACCAACAGCAGCAGCAGCAGCAGCAGCAGCAGCAGCGCTCACCTGCTTCTGCCCCTTTTTTGGTTGACAGCAGCGGCGCAGCAACTCTCTCAAAAGCAACAAGCCACTCCGTTTCTGCTGCTGCTTGCAGGTCTTGCTGCTCCTGCTGCTGCCGTGCTGCTGCTGCTGCTGGCTCTTGTGCTGCTGCTGCTGCTGCGCTGCTTCTTAGCTGCAGCAGCAAATCCCTCATCTCCAGCAGCAGCCGCTTTGTCACAGTGTCCTTAAGGGCAGCAGCAGCGCCGTGCAGCTGCAGCAGCAGCTGCTGCACTGCTGCTGCTGCTCCTTCTCTCTCCAGCTGCCATTCTGTGCGGCTCTCGCTGCTCCAGCTGCTGCTGCTGCTGCTGCTGCTGCTGCTGCTGCTGCTGCTGCTTGCTGCTGTCAGCAGGAGGGACCGCAGCGCTGTCTCCTCCTGCAGCAGTGTCGGCTGCAGAATTGCAGCAGCATCTGCTGCTGCTACTGCAGCAGGAGCTGCAGCAGCAGCAGCTGCAGCAGCGACTGCCTGTGGCAGTTCTGCGTTTGTTGCTGTTGCTGCTGCTGCTGCTTCAAGTGCTGGCTGGACTACTTCTGCTGCTGCTGTCGCAGCAGCAACCCCGTGCTGCTGCTGCTGGCTGCTGCTGATCCCGTAGAACTTGTCTGCTGCTGCTAAGGTTTGCTGCAGCTGCTGCAGCTTCTCATAAGTAGTCTGCAGCAGCAGGCACTTTGAGGTTTCAGCAGCAGACAGCGACGCGCGAAGCAGCTGCTGCTGCTGCTGCTGCCGCTGCTGCTGCTGCTGCTGCTCTCCAACAACCCCGCAGCAGACGGCTTTGGCTTGCTGCATTAGCTGCTGCAGCTGCTGCAGCGCGCCTGCGTTGTCCAGCTTAGCTGCTGCTGCTGCTGCTGCCATCGCTGCAGCTGCCCACGCACTGTCCTCCATCTTGCTGCTGCTGCTGCTGCTGCTGCTGCTGCTGCTGCTACTTTCTAGAAGCTCACGCGGAAGCAGCAGCTCCTGTAGTTCCTGCGTCAGCGCCTCAACAGCAGCAGCAGCAGCAGCAGCAGCAGCAGTTGGTGCTGCTGCTGCGGGTTGCTGCTGCACACATGCCGAAGCCGCATCTGCTGCCTGCACCCCATCCTCCAGCTGCACCCCGTTGCTGCTGCCGCTGCCGCTGCTGCTGCTGCTGCTGCTGCTGCTGCTGCTGCTGCTGCTGCTGCTGCTGCTGCTGCTCAAAGACTCCTTGAGGCTGCGGCGAATCAGCTGCAGCACTTTATAAGCCCTGAGGGCCAGCTGAGTTAGCTGCTGCCGCTTGAGGGCCTGCTGCTTCTGCTGCAGCAGCAGCAGCGCGAGTGTTTTGGCGCTGCTGAGTGCAGCGTGCTGCTGCTGCAGCTCTGCTGCTGCTGCTGCTTGCTGCTGCTGGCAGCAAAGCGCAGCAAAAGCCCCAGTTGCTGCTTCCACTGTTTCTTGAAGAGCAGCAACAGCACTTTTGCTGCTGTACAAAATGCACAGCAGCTGCTCCTGCAGCGCAGCAGCACCTTTCTCCAACTCCGCCCCCAAACTCTCCAGCGAGGCGCTCCTGCAGCAGCAGCAGCAGCAGCAGCAGCAGCAGCAGCAGCAGCAGCAGCAGCAGCAGGAGGGGCAGGCGTGACTCTGCAGCTACAATCCACATTAATTATTAATTGTTCATTTGATTTTAATTTTAATTTTAATTTTAATTTTAATTTTAATTTTAATTTAATTTTAAATTTAAATTTAAATTAAAATATTTATTTTTAACTACGAACTTCTCTGCTGCTGCTAAGTGCTCTTGGGGTGTATGTACACCGCAGCAGCCCACCTGCTCGCCTGCAGCACAAACTGCAGCGGATTGGCTGCGGCTGCTGCTGCTGCTGCTGCTTCGGACAGCGGAGGGCCGCGAGCAGCAGCAGCAGCAGCAGCAGCGGCTGCTGCTGCTGCTGCTGCTGCTGCCTCTCCCTCTGGCCCTGAGACGGCCATAGTGAGGCAGCAGCAAATGTCTTCCTAAGCCCTGCAGCCCCCGCCGCAGCAGCAGCAGCAGCAGCGGAACAGCAACAGCTGCTGCTGCTGCTGCTGCTGCAGGACCGCAGCAGCAGCACCGCAGCTGCAGCACTGGAGCAGCAGCAGCAACAGCAGCAGCAGCAGCAGCAGCAGCAGCCCGGAGGCTTCAGAGAGTCCTGGGGGCCACCATGAAAGGCTGCAGCAGCCGACGGGCAGAGGAGGCAGCGGGGCTAGGGTTTAGGGTTTAGGGTTTAGGGTTTAAAAAGTGTTTATTAATTAAAAATAAAGAATAAAACTTTTCTTTTTTGTTTCTTTTGCTGCCATTTTAAACCCAATGCGCAGCAGACACGAGCTGGGGGGCCCCCCGACCCGCGGGGGGCCCCCCTGCTGCTGCAGCAGCAGTTTCGTTGGCTTAGTTTGCTGCATTTGTTTTTATTTTGTTTTTATTTATTAAAATATAATAAATATAGCTTTCCAGCTAGCTGGCTAGCTAGCTAGCTGGCTAGCTAGCTAGCCAGGGGGCTCCCGAGGTATCTCGAGCAGCAGCCACGTTGGTGCTGAGGGTTTAGGGTTTAGCAAGGCTATCACACCGCAAACCCTAAACCCTAAACCCTCAATAATAAACCCCACCTCTTCCCACAGCTAGCTAGCTAGCTAGCCAGCTAGCTAGCCAGCTAGCTAGCTAGCCAGCAAGCCGCCATCCAGGGTTTACATCTGCTTCTAGCTCCTATCCGAAACCCTAAAAACTTCCCTGTAACGCCTAAACCCTAAACCCTAAACCCTAAACCCTAAACCCTAGCCTCTCTGTCAACTGATAAGAACTTCATTTGAACCCTAAAAAGCTGCAAAACGCAAAACTCCAGAGGCCCCCAGAGGCTGCTTTTTCTACCGCTGCTGCTGCTCTGGCAGCAGCAGCAGCAGCAGCAGCTGCTGCTGCTGCTGCTGCTGCTGCTGCTGCTGTTGCTGCTGCTGCTGCTGCTGCTGCTCATTCGCCTCCGAAAAACTTGACTGTAATTAGTTTTGAAGCAGAAATAAAACTCGGACTTTAATTGCATTCATTCTGCTTCTCTTTTATTTATTTTTAATTATTATTTTCCATTTTGAGTTTTGCAATTCCAAACATTTCTTTTTTTATTTTTATTTTTTTTATTTTTTTTATTTTTTTAATTTGAATTTGCTGCGGACACTTCCGCCACTCCGAAGGCTTTTGCTGCTGGCTTCAGTTTCTCTTATTTATCTTGCTGCTGCTGCTGCTGCTGCTGCTGCTGCTGCAGCAGCAGCTCCAGAGACTTTTTCTGCTGGCTTTAGTCTCTCTTAATTATTTGCTGCTGCTGCTGCTGCTGCTGCTGCTGAAGCAGCAGCAGCTCCAAAGGCTTTTTCTGCTGGCTTCATCAGTCTCCCTTATTTTTTTGCTGCTGCTGCTGCTGCAGCAGCAGCAGCTCCGAAGGCATTTGCTGCTGGCTTTAGGCTCTCTTATTTATCTGCTGCTGCTGCTGCTGCAGCAGCTGCAGCAGCTCCAAAGGCATTTGCTGCTGGTTTTAGGCTCTCTTATTTATCTGCTGCTGCTGCTGCTGCTGCTGCAGAAGCAGCAGCTCCAAAGGCATTTGCTGCTGGCTTTAGGCTCTCTTACTTATCTGCTGCTGCTGCAGCAGCAGCAGCAGCAGCAAGGGTTTGGCGAATCATTTCGTAGGCCGCTGCCTGCAGACCCGCAGCAGCTAGCTGGCTCGTGTCTTAGCAGCAACAAATAAATTAATTAATTTAATTTAATTTAATTTAATTTAATTTAATTAATTTAATTAATTTAATTTAATTAATTAAATTAATTAAATAATTAAATAATTATTATTTCATTTCTCACTCTTGTCTTGGTGATTCCGAGAAAGCCCGTGGCGTGGCAAAACACGAAATCGGTTTCTTTCAAAGCCTCGTTTTCTGCTGCTGCAGCAGCAGGAGCTGCTGCTGCAGCAGCAGGCGCTGCTGCTGCTGCTGCTGCTGCTGCTGCTGCTTCCTGCAGCACAACTTGGCCCAGCTGCGCGTCTCTGAGGCCCCGAAAAGACTCTTTTAATGGCAATCTGCTGCTGAAGTTTTCGCCTTCTTTCGGAATGCAGCGCACAGTCCACGAGGTGTACGTACACCCCGTGGCTTCGCAGCAACGCTCCGACGGATACACCTGAAACTTCACAGGCTCCAAACCCAACTCCCACTCCAGGCTGTAAATGTGGTCCTGAGCAGCAGCAGCAGCAGCAGCAGCAGCAGCAGCAGCAGCATTGGCAGCAGCAGCAGCGGCGGCGGTGGAGCGGCAGCAGCAGTGCAGCAGCAGCAGCAGCGGAGTGGTGGCGCCGCTCGAAGCAGCAGCACTAGCTGTGGTGGCGGCATTGCTCAGCAGCAGCAGCAGCAAACAGAAATGCAGCTCTCTCGCCACTCCGCAGCACTTCCCCCCAGGCTTTTAACCAAACAACTAATTAAATTAATTAAATTAATTAATTAATTAATTAATTAATTAATTAATTAATTAATTAATTAATTAATTAATTAATTAATTAATAACAATACCTCCACTGGAGTCCACCTGGGGAGCTCGACTGCAGCAGCACTGTAGCAGCCCGCAGCGCGCAGCAGCAGCGCGTCTTTGAGGGTTTTCCTTGCTGGCATCCAAACCCTAATTAAGCGGATAACAGTTTCTTTGAGGGTTTCATCTGCTGCTTTAATGGCTTTTCTAAACCCCCAAACTTCTGCTGCTGAGCCCCCCCAAATGGGCACTTCCAGCCAGTTAAAGGGGCACTCCCAGCCCCTTCCTGCTGCTGCTGCTGCAGCAGCAAACAGCTCCCGCTGCTGCTGCTGCAGCGCAGCAGCAGCAACGCTCTCCTGGTACTCCCACACGTACAGGGGCCCCAGGGGCCCCAAAGAAGCATCCCCGGGGGCCCCCCCGGGGGCCCCCCCGGGGGCCCCCTCGGGGGCCCCCTTGCCTTGGGGGCCCCCTTCTGCTGCAGCAGCAGCCCCCTGGGGGGCCCCCCCGTCCGCCTTGGGGGCCCCCTCCTGGGGGCCCCCCTGGGGGGCCCCCCCCTGGGGGGCCCCCCCCCCGGGGGCCCCCTGGGGGGCCCCCTGGGGGCCCCCAGGGGCCTCAAACTTATAAGGGTACAGAGATGCTACCCTACTTGCCAGTCCTGTAGTTTCCTTATAAAGGGGGGGCCCCCCTCGGGAAATGCCAACTCCATTATCTGCTGCATCTACAGCTTCGATGAGGTGTACGTACACCCCGTACATCAGCTGCCGCAGACTCTCCTCGCACTCCACGCCTGCGCAACAAACCCTAAACCCTAAACCCTAAACCCTAAACCCTTATAAATCCTTATAAACCCTTACAAACCCTAAACCCTAAACCCTAAACCCTTATTAACCCTTATAAACCCTTACAAGCCCTAAACCCTAAACCCTAAACCCTAAACCCTTATAAACCCTTATAAACCCTTACAAACCCTAAACCCTAAACCCTAAACCCTAAACCCTCATCTCACCGAATCTTTCTCTCAAAATGCGTTCTCCAAAATGACTAAAAACAAGCCCCGCGCTGCTCAACTTCGTAACAGCTTCTCTCATCTTCACACTCTTCCCGGGGGCCCCCCCGGGGGGCCCCTGGGGGGCCCCCTGGGGGCCCCCCTGGAGGTATTTGGCGAAGTCGAAAGTGTCGGAAAAGCCCTTTTGGTGGTGGTCGAACTTGAGGGTTTGGGGTGTATGTACACCTCCGACATCGACCAAGACAGAGCACTTCTCCAAGTCTTCGCTGCTGCGGCTGCGGCAGATTTTTGCTGCTGCGAATTGCTGCAGCGACAGCAGCAGCGCGCAGGCCAGCGCCTCGTCCAGGTGGAACCTGCAGCAGCAGCAGCAGCAGCAGCAGCAGCAGCAGCAGCAGCAGCGGGCAGTGCCAGCAAGCGGCGCAGCGAGAGGAGGCGCAGCAGCGCAGCAAACAGCAGCAACAGTAGCAGCATTAGCAGCAGCAGCAGCACTGCTAGCAGCATTGGCAGCAGCGTAGCAGCAGTATTGGCAGCAGTTGCAGCAGCAGCAGCAGCAGCACAAGAAGTAGGAGCAGCAGTACAAGCAGCAGTAGCAGCAGCAGCACAAGCAGCACCAGTACTAGGAGCAGCAGTGCTAGCAGCAGTTGTAGGAGCAGCAGCAGCAGCAGTTGTAGCAGCAGCAGCAGCAGCACGAAGGCAACAGATCAGAAGTAGCAGCAGGAACATAAGTGAGGAGACGAGCAGCAGCAGCCGCAACAGCAGCCACAAGCACCCACAGCAGCAGCAGCAGCAGCAGCTGCAGCAGCTGCAGCAGCAGAAGCAGCAGCTGCAGCAGCAGAAGCATCAGCGGCGACACCCTAAAAGCAGCACCATTTGCGGCAGTGGTGTCAAGAGCATCTGCAGCAGCAGCAGCAGCAGCAGCAGCAGCAGCAGCAGCAGGACACACTCACCGTGGATGTTCGGGACTTGTTGACTGCAGCAAAAGGACGAAAGTGCCGCTGTGAGATAAAAGATACGCCAGCAGCAGCAGCAGCAGCAGCAGGAAGGCGCATGCAGCAGCAACTAGCAGCAAAAGAAAGACAGCAGCGGAGAGCCCTGCAGTGGCAGCAGACAGCAGCAAAAGGGAGCTCCAGAAGGAGAAATAAAAGAATAAATCAGTTTTAAATTGAAAAAAAGGAAAATAAATCTCCAATTTAAAAAGAAATGTTCTTTTAAAGCTCAAAATGAGACCATTTCCGATCGGCGGCTGCTTGGCGTCGATGCTGCGGGGTGTACAGACACCTCAGCGCTGCAGCAGCGCCGCCAACTTGCGTTCGGCTGTCTGTACAGAAAGAAAAAGCAAAATGTTGAATTGAAATAAAATAAAATAAAACAAAATGTTGAATTAAAATAAAATAAATCTTTTTATTTATTTATTTCTTTTTAAACTACTCAGCGAAGCACTGCAGCAACAGCAGCACGCGCCCTGGCAGCAGCTGCAACCCAGCAGCAGCAGCAGCAACTGCAGCAGCAGCAGCAGCAACTGCAGCAGCAGCAGCTGCTGCAGCAGCAGCAGCAGAAACGAGAACACTGACATTCAGAAGAACTCAGACAAGGCACACACTCCCAGCCGGCGAGGGTTTAGGGTTGGGGGAGTGGGGTCTAGGGTTTAGGGTTTAAGGCTTAGGGTTTAGGGTTTAGGGTTTCTTCTCTAAACCCCATGAGGCAAAAGGAGCAGCAGCAAAGTGGAAAGGCCCGAAGCTGGGCTTGAGCTGCAGCAGCAGCACACCCTAGCCGGTGTGCTGCTGCTGCTGCTGCTGCGCTGCTGCTGCTGCTGCTGCTGCTGCTGCTGCTGCTGCTGCTGTTCTAGCCGTGGAACAAAAAGTGCAGCAACAGCGGCAGCAGTGCGAAAAGCCTTACGCGATATTCCATGTCTTCCGCTTCCTGTTGCCGGTGCTGCTGCTGCTGCTGCTGCTGCTGCTGCTGCTGCTGCTGCTGCTGCTGCTGCTGCTGCTGCTGCTGCTGATTTTCCCGATCTGCTTCTTCCTTTCTTTCTCTTTTCAAAAGTCTTTCTGCCCAAACGGCATTCAGGTGTACGTACACCTCAACGCTCTCGAATGTTCAGCTGGGAGTCGCGCGCAGCAAGCGGACGCCGCCTGCTGCTGCTGCTGCTGCTGCTGCTGCTGCTGCTGCTGCTGCTGCTGCTGCTGCTGCTGCTGCTCATAGGAGGTATAGTGCTGTGTGTTGCTGGTAAACTGCAGCAGCGGATGCAGCAGCAGACTCAAAAGAGACTGAAAACCCTAAACCCTAAACCCTACAGTAGCGAATAAAGGGTTTGGCGCGAGGGTTTAGGCCTGCAGGGGAGGCTAGACTCTCCTCTGGGGTTTAGGGTTTAGGGTTTAGGGTTTAGGGTTTAGGGTTTAGGGTTTAGGGTTTAGGGTTTAGGGTGCGGTGAGCCAAGTTGCGTGAGGCCGCTGCTCAGTTTTTCGCCGTTTATTCTCTGCAATTTTTTTATTTATTTGTTTATTTTATTTTATTTTATTTTATTTAAATTAAGTTAAATTAATTGAATTTAATTTAATTAATTAATTCTTTTTTCAGATGCAGCTCGCCGCAGCTAGCCACAGCTAGCCACAGCTCGCCACAGCTAGCTGCAGCTAGCCACAGCTGGCAGCAGTTAGCTAGCCGCTAGCTAGCGGCTAGCTAGCGGCTAGCTAGCAGCCAGCTAGCAGCTAGCTAGCTGCTGCCAGCTTTGGCTAGCTGCAGCTCAGGCAGCTAGCTAGCTGCGGCCAGCTTCGACTACCTGTGGCTAGCTGTCGCCAGCTGAGGCTTAACTAATGAATGAACTAATTAATTAATTAATTAATTTAATTAATTAATTAATTATTTAATTATTTAATTAAATTAATCAATTAATTAATTTATTTATTAATTTATTAATTAATAATTAACGAATTAACATATTTTTTAAATTATTTTTATTTGGCCTTTTGGCTGTGCAATTGAGGGCTCTTTGAGGTTGGCAATTTATTTAATTTAAATCTCTGGTTATGTTGCTGCTGCTGCTGAAGCAGCGACTGCAGCAGCAGCAGCAGCAGCAACTGCAGCAGCAGCAGCAGCAGGAACTGTAGCAACTGCAGCAACTGCAGCAGCAGCAGCAGCAGGGCGATATCTTGCTGCGAAGCAACCTGCTGCCTTTCGCAACTAGTTGTCGAATTCGCTTTTAAAGATACAAAGTTGAAAATATAAAAACTAAAAAAGAAAATAAAAATATAAATTAAAAATAAAAAAGAATATAAAATAAAAATAAACAAAAAGTAAAAGCATTTAATTAATTCATTCGGCAGCCAGCAGCGGCGCCTGAGTCGCTGCGGCGGGGTGTCCAGACACCAGAGGAAATCGGAATGAGTTTGGCGGAAAGTTCTGAAATAAAGTTTATTTTAAATTAATTTATTTATTATTTTAATTATTTTATTTAATTTTAATTTTAATTTTAGCTTTCTAGCCGCCGATTTCCCTGAAATAAGCCTCGGGGCCCCAGCAGCTCGGGGGGCCCCACCAGCGGCGGGTTGGGGTGTTTGGCGGGTGGGTTTGGTCGATCTGAGAGGAAATTAAATCAAAAAACGAAAATAAAATTAAAAATTAAAATAAAAATAAATAAAATAAAACAATTAAAGTACATTTTGCTCTAAAGCTGGGGTGTATAGCCACCTCGGACGACCCCCGGTGAACCGGTGGGATGTTCTCAGGTGTCTGTACACCCGAAACAACTCCCACCTAGGATCTAGGGTTTGCCAGCTAGGGTTTAGGGTTTAGGGTTTAGGGTTTAGGGCTCAATGCGCTTCACTTCTCCCTCAGATGCAGCAGCTGGGCCCCTCCTCCCTCCCCGCTGCCTGCGCTGCCCCCAGCAGCAGCAGCAGCAGCACTAGCAGCAGCAGCAGCAGCAGCAGCAGCAGCAGCAGCAGCAGCTGCTGCTGCTGCTGCTGCTGCAGCACATCAGACTGCGTCAAAACCCTCTCCCGGCCCCACCCGCTCTTCTCAGTGGGCGACAGAGTCAAAACAACTGACGGCCATTTCGCCTCCGTCAAATATATTGGCCTTCTCAGTACCCTCACCCAGGGGGCCCCCCAGGGGGCCCCCCGGGGGGCCCCCCAGGGGGCCCCCGAGGGGGCCCCCCCGGGGGCCCCCGAGGGGCCCCCGGGGGGGCCCCTGCAGCCTCAGGGGCCCCCTGAGGGGCCCCTCGCAGCAGCTGCAGCAGCTGCAGCAGCTGCAGCAGATGCAGCAGATGCAGCAGCTTCAGCAGCTGCAGCAGCTGCAGCAGCTGCAGCAGCTGCAGCAGCTGCAGCAGCTGCAGCAGATGCAGCAGCTGCGGCAGAGCCCCAGGGGGCCCCCCGAGAAGAGGGTCTTGACCCTCAGCAGCAGCCGCAGGGGGCCCCGGGGGCCCCCAGAGGGGCCCCTGGGGGGGGCCCCCTGGGGGCCCCCCCGAGGGGCCCCGGGGGGCCCCCCAGTTGGGAAAAGGGGCCCCAAGAGGATTTATGGATTGGAGTGGTTTGGGAAGATTCCTCAAGAGGGAAACATGACGGGGAGCTGGAGGGGGTGAGGTACTTTTGCTGCTGCTCCGAGGCAGCTAACCAGCAGCAGCAGCAGCAGCAGCAGCAGCAGCAGCAACTTGCTGCAGCGCCGGGAAGCAGCAGCAGCAGCAGCAGCAGCAGCAGCAAGACGGGCGCTTCTTTTCTGCGGCCCCACAAGCTGCAGAGGCCTATGACCTTCCGCGAGGCTTTGCTGCTGCGATACACCACCAAACTTACTGCTGGCAAGACCTGCTGCTGCTGCTGCTGCTGCTGCTGTTGCTGCTGCTGCTGCTGCCGCCGCTGTTGCCGCTGCTGCTGCTGCTTCTGGTTGTGCTGTTGCTGCTGCTGCTTCTGAGCCTCCCTGCTCCGTGCCCTTCCCTTTCATCTCTTTCGAATGCGTCCTGCTGCTGCTGCTGCTGCTGCTGCCGCTGCTGCTGCTGCTGCTGCTGCTGCTGCTGCTGCTGCTTCAGAAGAGGTGGCTGCAATGCGGGTGTTGGACTCCAAGACGCTGCGGGAGAAGCAAATGGAGTTTTGTGGCTGGAAAGAAGTAACAAATTTAATTTAATTTAATTTAATTTAATTTAATTTAATTTAATTTAAATTAAATTAACCATTTAATGCCAATCTTGAAACTAAATGCGAAATAAATATCCACCAACAAATACTTTTCAAAGTACATTTTAAATAAACCATTTTCATAAGCTGGGGTGCCCCAGGGGGCCCCCAGGGGGCCCCTTGGGGGCCCCCTGGGGGCCCCCTGGGGGCTTCCTGGGGGCCCCCCGGGGGGCCCCCTGGGGGCCCTTTGGGGGCCCCTTGGGGGCCCCTTGGGGGCCCCTTGGGGGCCCCTTGGGGGCCCCTTGGGGGCCCCTTGGGGGCCCCTTCTCTGCAGCTGCTATGGGGTTTGTTGAGTGTTGTGTTGTTGGAAGTTTGTGTTTTGCTGCTGAGGGTTTGTTGCTGCTGCGGGTTTGCTGCTGCTGCTGCTGATGGTTTGCTGCTGCTGCAGTTTGCTGCTGCTGCTGCTGATGGTTTGCTGCTGCTGCAGTTTGCTGCTGCTGCAGTTTGCTGCTGCTGCTGCTGATGGTTTGCTGCTGCTGCAGTTTGCTGCTGCTTGCAGGCGCAGCAGCACTTCAGCAGCATAAAGCTTTTGGAGACAATTACTTTGACCAACTTCCCCCTAACATGCTGCTGCGGGTTTGCTGCTGCTGCTGCTGATGGTTTGCTGCTGCTGCAGTTTGCTGCTGCTGCTGCTGATGGTTTGCTGCTGCTGCAGTTTGCTGCTGCTGCAGTTTGCTGCTGCTG